GATTACTTTTTGATAAATAATTCGTTCTTATTGCGAAATAGGAGCACTATTTATCAATCTGTAATAAAAGACGTGAGGAAATTCTGTCTTAAAGATAAAAATTTTTGAGGCGAAATACCCAAAAAGAAGTTTGTAAAAAAATGAATCCGCCTCAACAATATAGAACTTATCTAAAACAGTTTTTGTGCAATAATTTTTATTCGAAAAATCTTTGTCTTGAGACCACGTTTAAAACCAATAGAAAGTTCAAAAATGTACCTTTCAGATAAATTTCGGCTGTTTTAGCTATTTTGGCTGGCTTCGAGCAAGTCGTTGTATTGAAAATAACAGCAAAAAAGCCAAAATCAACTTTAATATAGCAAAAATGCATTTTTTCCAGTAATCCCACTCCTACTTCACTGGAAGGGACTGTTTGGCAGCCAAATGGCCCTAAAAGCAGATTGAAAGACAATTTGCTATATTTGAGCATAAATTCCACTCTATCAATGCGACAAAACCCATATCAGAGCGATTATGAATTTTACCAGGACTTGTATCAAACCTACGGCGACCCGCCTTATTCGACGTATTAAAATTACCGAAGTTCCTTTAAATAAAATTTTATTGTATAATTTATACTTTTATTTCCCGGACGTCGTTGGCTCCTCCAATCTGCTTCAGCAGGATTGATTATCAATCCCGGAAACTGATAATTCCGACGCCCCTTACATCACAATCCAGTCTAATTTTTTTGCGGATTTCAGTCAGTTCCCATTGCTTTTCAGAGGCAAAAAATGTCCAAACTCCTAACCGTTTTCGTTCTACTGCATCTGACTGGTATTTACTTACAAAACTGTTACAAACATCGGCCCTTACTAAAAACCCCAACTCAGCCCAGGAAATATGGACATTTCGCCTCACTAGAACGGTCCTTCCACGCCACTACTCCCTGAAACTCCATCCAAATATTGATGGCGACCACTTCCAAGGCGAAGTTTCCATTACGGTGTCCAGCCAAATGGAGGAAAGGAGACTCATACTGCATAGCATGAATTTGACTATCACTCAGGCCACAGTCAACCGCCAACCGGTTGAGGTAAAAGAGGAGAGCGAGCAGCGCATTTCACTGGGCCTGCAAAATGAGGAACGCTTCCAACCTGGAGAACACCAGATTCGGTTGGTGTTCAATGGGACTTACCAGGACAGATGCGGCCTGAGGAAGGCCAGAACGGAGGAAGGGTAAGCATAAATTTAACAACAGGAGGCAAGATTGAATGTTAAAACCCATTTTTTTGCAGAGTTCTAATAGTGAACGAGTCGGAACCCGGCTACGCAAGACGAATATTCCCTTGCTTTGATGAACCCAGTTTTAAAGCTCGCTTTAATGTGCGTCTCATTGCTCCAAATGCTACATACAGGGCCCTTTCTAATATGCCGGAAATCGTATGTAACTAAGCAATATTTGCTCTATATACAAGAAATTCGTTATGTTTTTCAATTCTAGGCCAGATATAGCACGAAGGCCGGCATTATCTACGATTTTGCAACTAGTGTGGTAATGTCCACTTACCTGCTATCGCTCGTAATAACTGACTATCCATTTTACGAGGAAATGATGAAAATTGGTGATAAAACAATTCCAGTTCGGATTTTCACCTCTAAAGCCAGTAAGGAAAAAAACGGTGCAGCCGTCCAAGCTGTGAAATTCTACATGAATTATTATACAGAATATACTGGCATTCCCTGCCCTCTTCCCAAACTAGGTAAGCAGCGTCGTTTGGTAAGTACTGAAGAAATGTAGTTTGTGTTGGATACAGAATTTTATTATTATTATTCAGTTCTGTCTGTTATCGTATCGGTTGTAATCCGTAGATCGCAGCTTAATCTTTTTCAATTGGAAATGAAGAACAACTTTAGTTGGGCGCATTTTCCCAAGCAATTCTCTTGTGGCAGAAAACGAAAATGACAAAAAACTAAACATTTCTTTTAGACTTCAGGATCTAAAACTTTAAAGTCTTGAGTGTTTCCAAAAGTTGAAACTTCTACTCTCGCTTTCATGCGGTTGGAATACTTTTAGTCTATTTTTCCTTTGAAATTCTCTTCTTAGATTGATGATTGTTGATCATATTTGACATTCTTATGCCCCAATCGAGTAAATGAAGAGAACCGAGAACTATTTTTGCAACGACAGAAGCTAAAACTAACCTAATCTTCAATTGTTTGCTGCTTTTTTCTAGCAAAACTCAAAAAACCGCCTTTTTTAAACCGATTCCGCGGAACTGTGTTATAAACCAGCAAAAACTTCGCAATTTTTTACTTTACAAGGGAACGATTCGCTGTTTTAAAAACATGGTTTCCAGTAAGCTATTTTTCAAAAAATATATTAAAAAGTTAGAAAAACTTTGCTAGAAAAAAAACAAAATTTTTCCATAAAAAGAGATTTCAAACTTTAAAGTCTTCAGTGTTTCCAAGCTTTCTACTGTTGCTTTTATGGTCCGCCTGGGTAACACTGTGTTGAGTTGCGCTATTGAGTTGTTGCCGCTCTCTGAGGTTTTGTCCATAATTCGAAGCTTCAAAAAGTTTTCCAAACATTTTTTCCAAGCGGTTTGAGGTTAAGGAGGCGAGGGTTTCAATAAAATTTATTTTATAATTTTTCACAGAAAATACCTGAAGATTGTCAGTATTTTAGTTTTCGAACAAAGTTTTGGTAAAAATTCAAAAGACCTTCAGATCGTCAGTATTTTTAAGTAAAACTCTACAATAGAGCGTTTAGAAGAAAGAGTAACTTGAAGAGTAAAACTGGGAAATTCTGAAATTTTGAAGAAATTTTAAAAATATTATTAATAAATGGCCCTTAAAATAAATCTAAAAACAAATAAAAAAAGTCATCAGCATTTTCCCAGCAATGGAACTTATGTAGAAACTGATTTCTCGCAACCGTTTTCAAACACCAAAAAATTTTTTACAAACTTCTTTTTGGGTATTTCGCCTCAAAAATTTTTGTCTTTAAAAAAGACAGAATTTCCTCACGTCTTTTATTACAGATTGAT